GGGGTTTCGCTGTGTTGCCCAGGCTGGTTTCAAACTGCTGGGCTCAAGTGATCCACCAGCCTCGGCCTCCCAAAGTGCTGGGATTACAGGTGTGAGCCACCCTGCCTGTGTTTTATATATTTTTGAGATACGGATAAGTTCTTCTAAGAGGCCATAATATATAGATTTCATTACCTAGAGATTTAAAACTATGTTAAAGACAAAGGCAAAATTACAGGCAAAAGATGAAATGCTGCCGGGCGCGGTGGCTCAAGCCTGTAATCCCAGCACTTTGGGAGGCCGAGATGGGCGGATCACGAGGTCAGGAGATCGAGACCATCCTGGCTAACACGGTGAAACCCCGTCTCTACTAAAAAATACAAAAACAAAACTAGCCGGGCGAGGTGACGGGCGCCTGTAGTCCCAGCTACATGGGAGGCTGAGGCAGGAGAATGGCGTGAACCCGGGAGGCGGAGCTTGCAGTGAGCTGAGATCCGGCCACTGCACTCCAGTCTGGGCGACAGAGCCAGACTCCATCTCAAAAAAAGAAAAAAAAAAAAAAAAAAAAAAAAGATGAAATGGGAAAAAAATATTTGCCACATGCAGTATAACACACAATAGACAGTGTTCTTGGCATTCCTCGTTTTCCTCAGCTGTAATGTTCTCCTTCAGAGGAAGATAGTGAAGATTGAATGCAGCATGATATGTGTGACATCTCTCTGTCCTGGAAGACACTTAGCAATGTATATTCCTCATTGTGTCCCCATCCCTCTCCCAGCTAGCCAACTTCCCTGGGTGGAGTGAAGACATAGCTTTAGTTCACAAAATGGCAGATATTTTTAAATGAATATATTTTCTGTAAATTTAAAATGAACTTCAGTGCAATGTGTTTTATGGGCAGTTTGGAGAAAGACGTGTGTGTGCTGAGGGAGGGCTAGCTCTCACAAGAAAAAACACTTCTTGGAAATTGTGCTTTATTTTTGCTTGAATTGATGTAGCAGCTAATGACGTTCAGTGATGTATACACAATGACCAGCACAGTTCCTGGCACATGTAATAGGTGCTCATTTGGTTCCTGCCTTTATTCTGTGCCTGATAGGACATACATACTCTGTCTCTAAATTGTTGATGATGATCACAAAATAGATCTTTTACTTAAATGGTGGAAGTATTGCACAGTGACTAGGTCTTTCACACACACAGTGACTAGATCACATTAGTAGAATACACTTTTTTCCTGGTTAGGCACCTACAACTGTATTCACATATGCCAGATGGCATATTCCACATGCAACCCTTCCTTACCTCTGCTTTTAGCCAGTGACATTTTAAACCATACTTTTTGTGAACTGGACATGGGGATGATTCAGTATTCATTTCAGGGATAATTAGATTGCCATGCCAGTTAGCTAATATATTCCATTGTTTTATAGGGATCTGTTATTGAGATCTATTTTTCCATTACAACACTTGAGGGCCCTGACTACATTTAGCAGTATGATGTTAAAAACTATCATTAAACTTATCCTTCCATCTTGTTAGTACTGTGAAAGTAAAATTTAATAATGCGATTGCAGGGGATATGATTGTCAACCTCTACAGACCTCTCTAGTCTACTGATAATTTAATTTTAAATAAAACCAATTCAATTGAATTAAGATCCCCTCCATCTGTAATAAGTGCCTAGTCACATCTTGCATAGATTGGTAAAAGCCAATCACCATTTTAAGCAAATAAAAATGAGATAATGGTTTCATTCACTCTTGGGGAAATGTATGCTTGCTGATAATGAAAACACATCAGTTTTTGAGGAACTTACATTTTAGCAGATATCAGGAAAGAATCTCTTATTAGGCAAGGATGGGATTGAACTTTTTTTTCCAGGCTATGCTATCCAGTTATTAGAAAGGGAAGAAAACTAAGGCCAGCCACGGTGGCTCATGCCTGTAATCTCAGTGCTTGGGGAGGCCGAGGCAGGCAGATCACCTGAGGTCAGGAGTTCCAGAAAGGAGGAAAACTAAAATTAATTGAGCTTTTAGGTGCTTTTCATAACTTATTAAATCTTTGTGTGATTTCTGGGACCTGTTGTGGGGTGGGAGGAAGCGGGAGGGATAGCATTAGGAGATACCCCTAATGTAAATGACGAGTTAATGGGTGTAGCACACCAACATGGCACATGTATACATACGTAACAAACGTACACATTGTGCGCATGTACCCTAGAACATAAAGTATAATTTAAAAAATAAAAATCTTTGTGTGATTTAATCTTACTCAATATTTAGCTACAAAAAAAATATTTAGCTAAGAAAGCATTATGATCCCCATTGTATAGATGAGGCATGGAGAATTTAAGTGATACTTCCAAGGCCCTAGCTAACAATGACGATTTGAGCTCAGGTCTGTCAGATCTCAAACTTCATTCTTTGTGTTACACTATTCTGAACCAAGAAGTGCAAATTGTGTTGAGGAAACAACTTTATCTTTTCCGTTGCACCTTTTGGCCTGTAGTCCATCTGAAAAACAGCAGTATTCTGTATTAATAAGTAGTGAGTGATGGAAAGAGAAAAGGTCAAAATAAAATTGTGGGCCACTTGGCAGGGCTGTCAACAGCAGTGAAAGAAGTGGAACACAATGTTCACACTGAGAAGAGATGAGCTGAGTGAGGTGCAGAGACCTGCTGTAGGGTGGCTCTGGCTGTTGGGGCCTAAGCCAAGGGCAGGATTGGGGACCTGTCTTTTTTGTCTTTCAGCACAAGCATTGAACACCCAACATGTACTAGACCCCCTTCTAGGCCAAGGGAACAGCAGGCAGTTTCTGTTCTGCCAGAGTTTACATTCTAATTGGAGGAACACATGTAAGAGAAAGATTTTCAGACAAAAGTAAGTGCTCTGGAGGTGATCAGGATGTGGGTTACTTAGACTCGGTGGCCAAGGAAGACCTCTCCGAGAGGTGACCTTTGAGTCTGGAGCAGAACATGCCAGATAGCAGGAGTAGCGATTACAGAGGCAAAGGCCTGAATGAGCTTAGTGTCTTCAAGAGACAGAAGTGCAGACAGGACGTCTGGAAAGAGCAGTGGTAAGATCGTGCAGGGACCTGGAGCTGGTGGCAAGCAGTTTGGACTTTATTCTAAGGGCAGTGAAATCTCTTTGGAGGGTTTTAATTAGGGGAACGACATGATCTTCATGTGCCAAGAAGATGAATCTGGATGCTGTGGAGAGTGGACTGTAGAGGGCTCAGAACAGGGAGGGTGTCACAGGAGGCAGGAAGGAGCCACCCACAGGCTGGGACCAGGAAGGCAATAGGAAAAAGTGGAATAGAAGGTGACTACCTTCATCTCCAGAAATGCTCTAGATTTGGATTTGGGTAAAACTAAAGTAGTGGTTCCTCATATTTGTCAGTGTTTATCAAATTATGAATTAAAACAAAAATGATGAGTATCTGTTTAACACATTTAAAAATAATAATAGTGGTGTCTTCAACAGCACATATACTAAAATTGGAACAATGCAGAGATTAGTATGACCCCTGCCCATGGATGACACAAGTTTGTGAAGCCTTCCATATTAAAAACAACAACAACCCATACCTTGACATAAATAATTTAATGTAAGTTTTTAATGAAAAATAACTATATTTTCCAAAACAAAAAATTTAGTGAGAAGCTTCGTTTTTCATTTTTGCAAGTCGATTTAAGGTCTGATTTCCTGAAAGTCATCTAGATTCTTGCATCTGCTTCTGGCTCCAATCTTGGACCATCACACATCTTATAGTCACTGGAGAGAGCACAAATGAGGCAGATAACACCACGTTATTATGAAGTGGTTTTGACCTTGAGACCTCCTGCAAGGGTCTTGGGGATCCCAGGATCCCCAGACCACCCTTTGCGAACTGCTCCTGTGAAGAGAGATGTCATCAGATAGCCAGGCAGAGAATGACAAGGTATTCACTGCTTGGAAGTCCTTCCACCCATATTACTTGTGCTGTCTTTTGTTCTGTGTGTGCTGGATTAGGGGTGGGATGGAAGGACAGTGAGGAAACACGCTGAATGAGCAGTTTGTCAGTGCCTTGTTGCTGCACAATAGCCTCAATGCTCATGACAGGGAGGGGATTATGTTTCTGCTTCCACACTGCACAAGAGGACCCCTCCTTGTCTGTGTCTGCTGGAAGCAGCAGTGAGAGCTGAAGCAGAATATTTGATGTTTGGTTATAAATCTCATTTTTCACCTTCATATTTAAAAAGAAATGTAGTCCCATTTTACCACTGGCTACAATTTGGTCACTACCTGCTATGCACCAATCTCATGGGAGTCCCTTCAGTGGTATCTGTAGACCCTAAGCGCCCTGGATAGGCAAAGCCAACAACACATGTCTCTTTGGGTGGTGTCAGTTGTTTGGCAGTGTATTATTTTAACAGAAAGCCATTTTCATTTCCATTTAAATGTGATTGTATTCAACTGGAGCCAATTTTCTTTGCCATTCCTACAGGCTTCCCCGCACATAGTAAAAATATGTCATTATATGAGGTCAGTGCAAACATAGGGTTCTAGAAAATCATTTCACCAAAGATAACTGGGAAACTAGTATTTTGTCAGGTAAGCAAAATCAGCACTGCCCCATACTTTTCACACATTTTTTTCTATATATATTTTTCTCAATTTAAATATGGTTATTTAATTGTACAGGGAGAAACTCCAGTGAACAACAATTTCTATTGCTACAGCTGTTAACGTCATTTTTCAGTTATATAGGTTTTTTAGGGAATAAATATGGAAACATTCATAAAAATCTTTTATTTTTTATTGATTTAAACCAGTTGGTAACATTTGTATTTTCTTAAATTTTTTTTTTTAAATCTAAGACATTCAAATGAACCATTTATATTAAAAATATGTGACCTTTTTGATGATGACTTAAGGGCATTAATTTGTATTGAAGTGAAAAGAGATCAGTCTGTAAAATAGTTTCACAAGATTGTGGAACTATTTGTAATGAGCATTTTCTGCTTGCTGTATTTTCAGGCCTTCTTCTTGGTCTATGCTCTGGGATGTTTAAGTATTTACTATGAGAAGGTAAGATGCTTTGTTTACATACAATCCACTTAAAATTTCCCTATTGTTAAAAGCAGGTTGTACTAATTTCTATATTGCATTAATACAAATGTTTCTACTCTTACTGAATAAAATAGGAATTGAATTTTTCTCTAAAGTTTTGGATTTGGGTTCTGAGGTGGGACTGTTCGAGCAAAAGGCATCTTTGACCCCTTTTTGCATTTCATTCCTTGAAACTAGGAGAGGTACAGTATCTTATGCTGTATAATAATTAGGTCAGATCACTAGATCAGGAGATCGAGACCATCCTGGCTAACACGGTGAAACCCCGTCTCTACTAAAAATACTAAAAAAAAAATTAGTCAGGTCTTTACTAAAAATACAAAAAAATTAGTCGGGCGTGGTGGTGGACACCTGTAGTCCCAGCTACCCAGGAGGGTGAGGCAGGAGAATGGCATGAACCCGGGGGGCGGAGCTTGCAGTGAACGGATATTACGCCACTGCGCTCCAGCCTGGGCGACAGTGCAAGACTCTGTCTCAGAAAAAAAAGGACATCTGTGTCAGAATAGTATTAAAAATTAACAAAAGTAAAAGTTACCAGTATTTGGCACCTACTATGGTAAAAGCTATACGTTAGGTACTTTACATGCACTATTTATAGTCCTTACCACCACCTGGTAAGAATTTGCAGATAAAGTAACTGAGGCTCAGAGAAAATAAGTAATGTACCCAAAGTCACACAACTAGTCCAAGTAACTCCAAAGCCCATGACTTTGTGCTGTAGCCTGCTGCCTTTAGAAGAGAGATAATTGTAAAATAATTCAAATAAAATGAAAAAGAGAAAAGTAAACAGAACAGTAAATGGAACAGAGGTGTATTCTGTTTGACTCTTGGGAGCACATAATTTAATCATCAAATTCTAATTGCATAAATACTGTTCATGGGTATTCTAGCGGTTTGGAAGCAGTGTCTGCCTGACAGATGCCTCATTTTCCCAAATGGTGGCCATTCTTAGCCCCACCCTGCTTCTTCTCATGGGCCTTACCTGAAATTTGTCAGAAGATTACAGCTGTGACATAAAAGCCTCAACATCTGAACAACATTGGACTGTGTTGGAAATTCAACCTTCTCTATGAGACTGTTGCTTGTTAGAAGAGGGGGTTGAGTGTTTACTCGCAGTGGGGTCACAAGGTCACACAGGTATGGAATTTTTGCACTAGGAACAACTGCAAAAAAAACTCTAGCCTATTGTATTATAATCTTAGGCTGGGACAAACTGAGCTAGTCTCACTGGGTGACTGAGCCTTAAATCAGCTGAAAAATTGATTGTTTCAGTAACTACTGAAATGAAGCAAAAATTTTCCAAACTTACCTAGTTATTTAGTTGTCATTGTATTTTTGGTAGTGATATATCAGAATATTCTCTAGACCAAACCACTCTCATTCTCTTTGACTCCCACATTAAAAACAAAGTTGTCTTATAAGCAGTTAATTATTAATTTGTGCCATCAGATAAATTCTCTAGTTTCAAACACTAAATTTTGGATTTTTTTTTTTTTAAGTTTTACTATAAAATTATTTTTTGTTCTTCTGAACGTGATCTGACATAGAGTAGCTACTCGTTAAAGATCTGTGAAATGTTGTCAGGCACTGCCCTCCAGCCTTGGTGGGCTTGTTACAGTGAGCCCCCTGCATGTGCTGGTTCCTCTGCCTGGAATGTCCATCCCGGCACACCACCACCCCCCGTCCAGCCCCTTTCCCTCACTACTTCTCGTGCTCAAATGCTGCCTTTTCTAAGTCCTCTGGAGCAGTGTTGTGCAATAGAAGGACATTGAGAGCCTCAGATGGGAGCCATGTGTATATAATTTCAGATTTTCTGGTAGCCACATTAAAAATGTTTTTTAAAAAGCAGGTGGAATTTTAATACAATATTACACAGTTTATTTAACCCAACTTATTCAAAGTTATTGAAATAGTTTATATTCCCTATTTTTTTTTTTTCATACTGAGTAGGAAGTCAGTGTGTATTTTACACTTAGAGCCCCTCTCAGTTCAGACTAGGTGTATATGGCTGGCAGCTGCCTCACTGGACAGTGCAGGGCCAGACCTTCTTGCTAAATTGCTCTACTGGGAGTGAGCCGAGATCGTGCCACTGCACTCCAGCCTGGGTGACAGAGCGAGACTCTGTCTCAAAAATAAAATAAAATAAATTGCTGTGCTGGGGGAAATGCGTTTTATTCGCTGCTTCAGCTCCACACGTAGTACAGATGTTGACGCTCTGGCTGAACGGAGGGAGAATGCATACACAGTAATGCTTTTTGTTTTTTGTAAATAACTTTAGGAGCCTTTAACGATAGTGAAACTCTGGAAAGCTTTCACTGGAGTTCAGCCCACGTTCAGAACCACCTACATGGCCTACCATTACTTTCGAAGCAAGGGCTGGGTGCCCAAAGTGGGACTCAAGTACGGGACAGATTTATGTAAGTAATTCTTGGTGTGGTGTGTGTGAGAATGGAGTTTATATCAGATTTGCCCTAGAACATCAAATTGGTCATGTGTGCTGTTGACGATGTTTTCTAAGAAGGCATCCTTTCAGTTTAGATAAGATTATTGGATATTTGGATTGGGGTAAGGGTAAGTGCAAAAAGAGAAAAGGCAGTCTAGGGAGAAAGCCTAGGAGAAGAAGCTTGCAACCCCATTTCAGGCCTTCCCTCTTGTTTGCTCTGTAATCTTAGAAAAGTGTTGTGACTGGGCACGGTGGCTCACGCCTGTAATCCCAGCACTTTGGGAGGCCGAGTCGGGTGGATCACGAGGTCAGGAGATAGAGACCATCCTGACTAACACGGTGAAACCCTATCTCTACTAAAAAATATAAAAAATTAGCCAGGCATGGTGGCAGGCGCCTATAGTCCCAGCTGCTCTGGAGGCTGAGGCAGGAGAATGGCATGAACCTGGGAGGCAGAGCTTGCAGTGAACCAAGATCGCCCCACTGCACTCCAGCCTGGGCAACAGAGTGAGACTCTGTCTCAAAAGAAAAAAAAAAAGAAAAGCATTCTATAGCACCTACCCCCACGTCTCACTAGCCATGAGACTGGGTAATTTGGGAGAGTCCCTTATCCCCAGGCCTCAGTGGCCTCATCTGCTGAGTGAGAACAGTCATATAATTGTAATAATCGCCGCAGCCATCATTGAGCACTTGCCATGTGCCAAGCATTTTACTAAGTATTTTACATCCATCATCTTGTTAAATCCTTATAGCAGTCCTATGCAGTGGAGACTCTTATTGTCTTCATTTTCTGATAGGGAGACTACAGTTTAGAAAAAGTAGGTCATTGCCCATAATAGTTTCCAGGGCCAGTAACTTGCAGAACTGGGCTTTGAATTCTGGAGCCCAGGCTTTTAGAAATGTCTAACAGTACTGCCTCCCTTGATCTTTTTTTTTTTTTTAATTAAATCAATACTTTATTTACTTAATTTTTTTAACTTTACATTTAGGGCCAGGTGCAGTGGCTCACGCCTGTAATCCCAGCACTTTGGGAGGTCGAGGCAGGCAGATCACTTGAGGTCAGGAGTTTGAGACCAGCTTGACCAACATGATGAAACCCTGTTTATACTAAAAATACAAAAATTAGCTGGCTGGGCGTGGTAGCAGGCACCTGTAATCCCAGCTATTTGGGAGGCTGAGGCAGAAAAATTGCTTGATTCCGGGAGGCAGAGGTTGTAGTGAGCTGAGATCACGCCACTGCACTCCAGCCTGGGTGACAGAGGGAGACTCCAAAAAAAAAAAATTACGTTCAAGGGTACATGTGAAAGTTTGTTATATAGGTAAACTCATGTGACAGGGGTTTGTTGTACAGATTATTTGATCACCCAGGTGCTAAGCCTAGTATCCAGTAGTTATTTTTTCTGATCCTCTCCCTCCTCCCACCCTTCACCCTCAAGTAGACCCCAGAGTCTGTTGTTCCCTTCTTTGTGTTCATAAATTCTCTTCATTTAGTTCCCACTTACAAGTAAGAATATGCGGTATTTGGTTGTCTGTTCCTGGGTTAGTTTGCTAAAGATAATAGCCTCGAGCTCCATCCATGTTCTCACAAAAGACACAATCTTGTCCATTTTTGTGGCTACATAGTATTCCGTTGCATCCCCTATCTTAAAGTGAGGATCTGGACCAGGTGAGTTCCTCATTCAGCAGATAATGACTAAGGGTCTGCTGTGGGCCAGGTACTGTTTGAGGCATCAAGAATACAAACTTGAATAGGACAAACAGAGCTGCCTTCATGGAGTTTACATTCTAGGGAGATTGAAGGGTGGACACACAAGCAAGTAACTACATGACGTAGTTTCAGGAACAGATAAGCACTGTAAGAAAAAGCAGAGTCAAAGCTACCCAAGGTCAACTGTAGTCCAAAAGATTCAGATATCTACTGGGCACAGTGGCTCATGCCTGGAATCTCAGCACTTTGGGAGGCTGAGCAGGTGGGTCACCTGAGGTCAGGAGTTTGAGACCAGCCTGGCCAGCGTGGTGAAAGCCTATCTCTAGTAAAAATACAAAAATTAGCCGGGTGTGGTAGTACATGCCTGTAATCCCAGCTACTTGGGAGGCTGAGGCACAAGAATCTCTTGAACTTGGGAGGCAGAGGTTGCAGTGAGCCGAGATCACACCACTGCACTCCAGCCTGCACAACAGAGTAAGACTCTCTTAAAAAATAAAAATAAAAATTAAGATATTTTGAGAGATCAGATTCCCATAACTTTCATTACAGTATATTGTTATAATTGTTCTATTTTATTAATGTTCTTAATCTCATACTTTGGCCCTTTTGCCTGTAACTTTATTTTAATGATCAAGTTATACTTTGGATGATGCATAGAGAAAACTTCCTCAAAGATATTCTGCCTTATAAGGATGGTTGGACAGATGAATAGATGGATGGACAGATAGATAGAATTTTGAAAATAAAAAAGATAAACTGCTCAGTTTACAACTCCCCTGGAGGCCTTTGCTTCCACTGGGATATATCATCTGTTTCTAGTTCCTTGTACAATCAATGTGGGACCAGGTCTCTGACTCACACAGAGTCAGACTGGGCCAGCATCAGTGTTAAAAGTGTCTTCACATTTCGCTGTGTAAGGAAAGGTTCTCGAGCAGTGCTAGCCTGGGATATGAGGAGCGGCTTCCTAAACTCTGCCTCTTCTTCAGGCATGGGTGCACAGTTCCTGCTCCTTTTTAACAATATTATTTTAATTTTGGAGGTCAATGACCTAATCACATGAAGCCTAGAACTGCCAACATAGGCTAAACTCTTAACAATTGTTTTTCCTTAGAGGGGTAGTGACTCGTAATATAAGACCATTATGAAATTCACATCTTATCAGGGAAACTTCCCTTGAATAAATCTTGTCTATCAAATTTCATTCCAGGAGCAGTATTTGGGAGAGGTGATACGGGTCTCAAATCAAGTGCAACTGCCAGGCTGGTTGACCTTGATCGCCTACTGGGGGAGCCAGGACAGGAGCCAAGAGGGAACCTTTCCTTACACTCCCCACTGAGCAGCTCCCCTGGCTGCCGGCTCCTAGGGCCAGCCAGGCACCTTGCCTTGGTGTTTTCTTCTCTTGTCTTATTTAATCTTCACACTCCTGTGAGGTCTGTAGTAGTAGCTTCCTTTTGTAGCAGAGGGGTTTGAGGTTTAGAAGGGTTAGGTAAGTTGCCAGAGTACTTAACAGCTCGTTAAGTACACAGATTAGGGCTCTGTGGGTTTGTCCTCCTACCATGCCTAAGTCACGTTGCCTGCTAAGAAGCCAAAAACTAACGCAGGATTTATATTGTCTTATGTAGACAGTTATGGTTTGATTTGATTTGGTGTGACCCAAAGGTCTGGTTACTCCTAAGCCTCCTTCCCAGCCAACCCTAGATGGGGATTTGCATTGACTGATAAGTTTGATTTCTGAGCTTTCTGCAAATTAGAAGTCCCAGCACAGAAATGGAATGGTGGGAGTCATTGAAAGCTAGCAGTTATAGAATTACCAGACCCAGAAGGAACCATGACCTGTCGTGACATCCAGCCCAGAGACGGACAGTTCTGTCTGAGAATGGAGGTCAACAGAATAGCTTTCTATTTGTCGCAGAACAAGGAGATGTGTCTTCTTCCCGTCTTCCTCTTTATTCTTTTTTTTTTTTTTTTTGAGACAAAGTCTCACTTTGTTGCCCAGGCTGGAGTGCAGTGGCGCGATCTCCATCTCTTCTCACCACAACCTCTGCCTCCCAGGTTCAAACCATTCTCCTGCCTCAGCCTCCCAAGTAGCTGGGATTACAGGCGCACACTACCACACCCAGCTAATTTCTGTATTTTTAGTAGAGACAGGGTTTCGCTATGTTGACCAGGCTTGTTTTGAACTCCTAACCTCAAGTGATCCGCCTGCCTTGGCCTCCCAAAGTGCTGGAATTACAGGCATGAGCCACAGCACCAGGGCCTTTTATTCTTTTCTAAGCCACTTCCTGGCTTGTTTTTCTTTTCTTTTTTTTTTTTTTTTGAGACGGAGTCTCGCTCTGTCGCCCAGGCTGGAGTGCAGTGGCCGGATCTCAGCTCACTGCAAGCTCTGCCTCCCAGGTTTACGCCATTCTCCTGCCTCAGCCTCCCGAGTAGCTGGGACTACAGGCGCCCGCCACCTCGTCCGGCTAGGTTTTTTTTTTGTATTTTTTAGTAGAGACGGGGTTTCACCGTGTTAGCCAGGATGGTCTTGATCTCTTGACCTCGTGATCCGCCCGTCTCGGCCTCCCAAAGTGTTGGGATTACAGGCTTGAGCCACTGCGCCCGACCCCTGGCTTGTTTTTCTAGTCAAATTTTGATATATTTTTGTTAATATCCTTTACGTTTACGTGATTAATCCATATTAATCCATAAGTATTTTTCATGTGTACCTCCAAAGAATACATTCTCCTACATACCATATAATGCCTGAGAAAAATTAGAATTGCTTAATATCATCTAAGTGTCCAGTCTATACTTAAATTTTTCCTGTTGTCCTTGTAATGTCTTTTGTGGCTATTTTGGTTGTAATTTTTATAGAGATGGGGTCTCTGTATGTTGCCCAAGCTGGTCTCGAACTCCTGGGCTCAAGCCATCCTCCTGCCTGGCTTCCTAAAGTGTAGGATTACAGGCATGAGCCACCATGCAGGCCCCTGGCTTAGATTTTCTCGATACAGTCGCATTTGATTATTATATCTTCCTTTTAGTTTCCTAGGGCTCATAAGACATTACCACAAACTGGGTGACTTAAAAGCAACAGAGATTCATTCTCTCACAGTTCTAGAGGCCAGAAGTCTAAAATCAAGGTGTCAGCAGGGTCAGGCTCCCTCCAAAGGCTCTAGGAGAGAATCCATTCCTTGTCTCTTCTAGATTCTGGTGGCCCCAGGCATTTTGTGGCTGGTGACTGCATTCCTCCAGTCTCTACCGTGTCTGTCTGTCAAATCCCCTTTCTC